GGCGTGAGGAGCGCAGTGTGTGTGTGTGTGTGTGAGAGAGAGAGAGAGAGAGAGAGAGAGAGAGAGAGAGACCGTATGCAAGTGTGTGCGTGCGTGTATCTGGGTTTACGTGTGTGTGCGTGTGCATGTGTGTGGCTGGGGTCACGTTGGGCCAGGTGGGTGCAGGGCCCGCGCGGCCGAGGGCCTGGCTGGGTGGAGGCGGAGACGTTGGTAGGAGGTGTGTGGCGTGATGCGAGGGGAGGGTGATGCGTTTAGCTGTGTTTGCATGTGAGTGCATATGTGAGTGTGTGCGTGCGCGCGCACGTGTGTGGGTGTGTGCATGTGTGTTTGTGTGTGTGCGGATGTGCGCGTGTGTGTGCAAGGTTGTGTGTATTCGTGCGTGCATGAAAGACTGCGCTCCTCGCTCCCTCACTTGCACTCCCCCCCCCCCAGACGCGGCTTCACGTGCACGCCTCTCATGCCCTTGTGCTCCCCCCCCCCAAAGGCAAAGCGCAACGTGGAGAGCGGCAAGGTCCTGCGCGCTAACGAGGCGCTGGCCGCGGCGAGGGCGAAGGCGCAGCAGCGGGACGGCCAGATCAGGGCGCTGCAGGTGCGCGGGTTTCGGGCAGGGGGTGCAGGCCCCGCAGGCGCCGCGATGCGCGTTTCAGATGCCGCCAGAATGACCGCGGGATGGTTGTATGTGGGGCGCCCACAGCTAATTGCAAGGCTTATGGCGTGGGCCCTACGTCGGGGTACTGGGCGGACGTCGTTCCACTGGCCGCATGACTCACGGCGGCAGCCTCCGCTCGAGGCTGCCACAGTCAAGCAGTGGCGTCTCGCGCGCCCGTGCGGCGCATGTGCACACGCCAACCTGCTTGTTCCACCCCTCCGCTTGCGCAGGACGCCCTGGCCGGCCAGCGGCGCGAGGCGGCGGCGCTGGCTGCGGCGGGCGGCGGCGCGCAGCTAGAGGTGGCTGACCTGAGGGTGAGCAGGGGCCGACGGGCTGCTGTCGCCGCGGCTGCGGCCGCTGCTTCCCCACAGCTTCCCGCCTTCACGTGTGGCTGGCTCCGTGATATGGAGACCAGGCGACCGGCTCGTGCTTCTGACCTCGCAACGGGCAGCGCGGAGAGGTAAAAAGAGTTTGATGACCAAGCCTGCGCCTGCCTTTGATGCCGCCCTTGCTGCAATCGCAGGCCCAGCTGGCGGCCGCGCAGCGGCAGGCAATGCTGCCAGGCGGCGGCGCCGGGGACGCCCATGACTCCGAGGACAGCTCTGGTGGCGGCGAGGGGCGCAGCGGCGAGGAGCTTGTTGTGCAGGGCCGCGCCGCGATCGACCGCGCGCTCTTGAGGGACCAAGACGCGCCGGCGCATGCCGTCCCCGGCCCGCCTCGCGCGGCGGCACCCGGCGCCAAGGCCCTCTGGCCCGGCGCGCCGCCGCAGCCGCCGCGCGGCGCCGGCGGCAGCGGCGTCGCCACGCCGCGCGAGCGCGAGGCGGCGCTTGCGCCAGGGTCTGCAGCAAGCAGCGTGTCTGCGGACGCGGCGCCGCTGCCGCCGACGCGAGCGGGGTCGCTACATTCTGAGAGGTGAGGGGCTCGGGTCAGGACTGCCATGCGTATGTTGGCGCATGTGCGCTTGTGGGTGTCGACGCCTGTGTGCGTGCGGGGCGCACTGCGTGTACGTACTTGTGTGTGTGTGTGTGTGTGTGTGTGTGTGTGTGTGTGTGTGTGTGTGAGCAATAGAGAGTGGGAAAGAGTAAATAAGAAAGAGAGAGGGGGAGAGAGAGAGATTTTTTTTTGTTTGAGGCTGTGTTCTTATGTATGTGGTAGGGATGGGGTAATATGGCAGGGCAGAGCGAGTGACGGCGAGCATTGCCGCCACGCATCGCTCACCTGCACACAGCTTGCAGGCTGCCCCACGCGCGGCCACGCGAGTCATTGGGTGCATTCACGAAGCCAGCACGCGTCGCTTGCGCCGCGCCCACCCCGCAGGTCCGGCCGAAGCAGCCTGGCGCCCGCGCCCTTCAAGCTTGCAGGCGCGGCATCCCTGGGCGACCCCCCTGCTCCCAAGCTCGCCGCCTCGGCGTCCGCCCGCCAGAGCGGCGTCTGGGGGGCCCGGCAGCCGCTGGCGGGCGCAACGGCGGCGGTGGCGGCGGCCGCGGGGGCGCCGCTGGTGTCTGCGCGCTCGACGGCGCGCGGCGGGGGCCGTTGGAAGTGACGCGGGCGGCGGCTGCCTTGCACAGTGACATGGCTTCGTGCACTTCTGCAGCGCGCGCGAGGCGGTGCCAGGGGAGCAGCTGCCTTTGCAGGAAGGTCGCAGGGTCTGTCTGCCCGGCGGTGCTGTGGTCATTCTGGCTCCTCTTGCTGCCCTCTCCCACGTCCTAGCCTTTGTATGAGCGTTGTTTTGCAGGCGACTCGGGGGGTGGGTTTGGTCTCTTTAGGTTAGGATGGGGTGTGCTCTCTCGGAAGCGCTGCCGTAGTCATGTGAGCGGCGGCGGTTGTGATGATTTGGTCCTTCTGTGCCGCTGGGGTGCAGCTGGCACCTCAAAGGCCCTTGTTCAATCCATTGTTAGCCAAGTAGGGGCCTGGAGCGCCTGCCGCATTGATTTGTCGCGGCAGGGGGTAAAATCATGTACCAGGCCGGCGTGGTAATCATACATGCTATGAGAGACCTTAATGGTGCTGTGGCGCGTTTTCTGCGGCGGCTTGAAGGAAGCAGCTCCTTTGACGCTGCGACGGAGCCCAGTCAAGGCGCATCTGGAATGCGGAAGGGTGCCACGTCGCACGCGCGCTCGCCAGGTCCGCGCAGGCCCCCCACCCACGCATCGGCCGTCCACGAAGTCATCCGTCGCATCTCCTTTGCAGAACGCATTGCGCGGTGGTGGTTTCGGAGTCTCGCATTCCCCAACCAGCCCAAGGGGCCACTGTCAGTGTTTCGAGAGGATCTGATTGTATTTATAGTGATGAGTGCGCCCCTGCTGCAGCGGCCTCACGGGGTTGTGGCCAGCAGGCCATGTTCAAGGCCGCGACACAGTGTGCTGCGGCCACGCAGCACACGATGCAGGGCGGTTCAGCTCGAGGAGCAGTATGCTGAGAGTCCAGATCAGAGCTATGCAGAGCGTACAACCGAAGAGGAGAGCGGGTTCAGCACCGACGACGGGACCGCCGCCACCACCCTGGCGGACCGTCTCGCAGCTGCGGGTGCGCTGCGCTGGCTGCGTTCATTCGTGCAATGGCGATGTCGGCGATACGGTGATCGCATGCCAATCCAATTTCAGCAGCAGCTTGTGCATGCTGGTGCTGTTGCAGTCGTGGCATCCGTGCCCATTTGCCACCTTACCCATCGCACCCCGCCTCCCCCAACCCATCCTCCTTGAGACACACACCCCGCCGCGCCCGCCGCCGCACTCCCCGCCCAGGCATCGCGCCCGTTCACCCCTCTCAATTGTTTGACGAGCGGCTCGTGGCGGAGTGGTCCCCGCTGGTTATAGCTTACTTCCCCATTGGTTGCCTCCTGGGGCTTTTCCGAATGGTGCGAGTAACAGGGCGTCACGCCCCCGCCATGCGGCGTGCTGCCCGGGCCGGTCGCATATCGCATGCGCGGCATGCTGCACTGTGCATGACTGCGTCCATGTGCCATGCGATGACGCACGCGCAGTCGCATGCACCGTGCGCGCCGCGGAGCGCGCTGCGCCGCGGCCAGGAGTTTTGGCCCTGCAGTGCTGCGGCGCCAGCACCCCCCAGCCGCAGGCGCCCCGCTGCCGATGCTGGTGCTCCTGCCCAGCCTGACTCGCGTAGCATTCCCATCCTTGATCCTTGCTGCGCACTCCCTGCAGACGCGCTCTTTGCTGCTTCTTGTCCCTCCTCTTTCCACCTGCCCTGTCCCAGAACCCCATGCATTCTCCCCCATCCCACCCTCCCCTCCTGGCTGCATCTTTCCTCTCTCGCCGTTCCAAACCCGCCCCCTACCCGCCCAGGCGCTGTGGGGCGGCGGTGTCGCCCTCGATCTGCCAGCCTGGCGCAGCCCCGCCGCCATCTCCACTTTCCTCTTCCTCTTGGGCGTGTCAGTGGAGTGGAAGGGCGACGCGAACGTCCCAAAAAGCGGCCGCCACGTCCTGGTATCGAACCACGTATCTCCAGGCGACCTGCTGGCGCTCTTCAACCGGCCGCAGCGCTACGTGCACCTCATCACGCCGCACCTGCCGCCCCAGGTGTTTGCCGCGCGCAACCTGCCCGCGCTCCTGCAGCCGGCCAACAAAGACACGTACGCGGCGCTGGCGCCGGCGGCGGCGGCAGGCGACGACAGCGGGGACGGCGGCGCCAGCAGCAGCAGCAGCAGCAGCAGCAGCAGCAGCAGCAGCGGCGGCAGCGGCGGCGGCAGCAAGCTACCGGCAGAGGCGCTGGAGGCGCCCGTGCATCTGTTTCCGGAGGGGGGCATGACTAACGCGAGCGGCATGATGGCGTTCTCCCGGGGGTTCACCAGATTCGCGTCGGACGTGCCGGTGGTCCCGATGGCGTTGCGCGTGAAGGTGCCCTTTCCGCAGGTGAGCCTGTGCCTTGCGGGGTCGAGGGGCAAGCGGAGAACCGCGAAGGGGCGCTGCGGGCCCCGCGGCGCGCTCAGGGGTAGCGGGTGTCCAGTGCAGCGCCTGGCGCAGGTGCTGCTGTGCGGGGCCGTGCACGAAGGGTCTGGCTGCGCCTGGCCGCGCCCATGCAAGCCGCCGGGCGCCTAATCGAGTCGAACAGAGTAGACCGCGCACCGGGCACCCAGTAAGCTTTGAGGTCGGTCGCCAGGATCGGGGCAACCGCCCGTTCCCCCGCTGCCCCACCGGTTTCTGGGACCGGGAGGTGTTCCGGGCCCGCACCTCTTGAGACAACTTCACACCGACCGCTTTTTGGCCGCGCCCGCGCTCCCCAGGTCAAGACGCACACTTTGACTTCGCCATTTGTAGCCAACCTTTTCTTCTTCGGCTGGCAGGTGGGCCGGCCTTGGCGTGCGACCCTTGGTGTGAAGCGGGGCGCGAAGTTTGACGCGCGGCCCATGCGGCTGGCCGGTGCCGGGCGCATGACATGCGTGGGCGTCACCCGCACGGCTAACAGCCCAGTGGTTGAGCCGCTGCCGTCACGCGTGCCCAAC